AAGTTGTGTAACCTAAGTTGTGTGTTACAAAGGTTAACAGGGGTTCCACAGATGGTGAAAGTTGTGTAACCTAAGTTGTATGTTACAAAGGTTAATAGGTGTACCACAAATGGTGAAAGTTGTGTTACATAAGTTGTATGTTACAAAGATTAACAGATGTTCCACAGATGGTGAATGTTGTGTAACCTAAGTTGTGTGTTACAAAGGTTAACAGGTGTTCCACAGATGATGAAAGTTGTGTAACCTAAGTTGTGTGTTACAAAGATTAACAGGTGTACCACAGATGGTGAAGGTTGTGTAACCTAAGTTGTATGTTACAAAGGTTAACAGTTGTACCACAGATGGTGAAAGTTGTGTAATCTAAATTGTGTGTTACAAAGGTTAACAGGTGTACCACAGATGGTGAAAGTTGTGTAACCTAAGTTGCAAAATGTTAAAAATGTTAAAATATGTGTAACAGAGGTGAAAAAATGCGTGTTACAAAGGTTTAAGATAGGCATTAAAAGGAGTGTTCAGTCAAAAGAGGAGTGGGATTACCCGCCACGTCAATCCTTTATGACATTTCACACAATAGTACAGGAATGGGAGCTGTAACAGTAAATGTTAATATCAACTAGTAACGTCTCATTTAGCTACCCTTAGGAGAGATTAAAGCCAGACTGCAATAACAAGACCATAGAATGGAAAAAGGTTCTGAATTCAAACTTCTACCGTTTACTTTATAAGAGACACACAGTAATCCATTCCCACCATGTCCCATTATGATGCGGCTGAGAACAGCTGTATGTGATATAGGCGCGGCTGCCATAGAGATACGACCCCTTGACTGTCATGATTACCAATTTAATCTTTTATAACATCTCAATTTACTGAAATAAACTCAAGCCGTGAAATATTTTTGTGCTTCTAATTTTGTTGTTTGTCCATTATATGGCTAATTAAAAGACCGCTATAGATAAAGTATAACCGCTCAACAACCAAAGTGTCATCGCCATGAGCTGTCGTTATTCGACTTGGCATCATGACGCCGTGCCGATATTGTACCGTAACAAAGGACGGTTATATGGAGGAGAAGGCAAAGGAGCCAGTCGATCACTTGTCAACAGGAAAAGTCTACAATAGGAGATTGACTCAGATGATTTGGAAAGAGGACGTTCCCTAGATCACGTGTGATACCCTTCAAGATGTCCCCCATAAAAACCGTGAAGGTATCCATGTCAAAACGACCACGGACACAATGCTAAAATATTTCCTCAAATGTTAGACTCTGCATTCCAAAGTGCATATGAAGCTATGCAGCATCCGGAAGTCACCCCTAACCCTTCCCCTAACCCCTTCATATCAAACGCTAGTGTAGGCAGGTGTGACTGGGAGGAGGCAGGACAAAATGGACGAAATGTTTGACAAGGAGTTTCACTGTCAATGCACGTGTAAATGTCTGTGTTTCTCCTTATTAATCGCGCATGAATTTTTATTTCAAGTTTATTTCGGGTTAACAGATACTGTCTATAGATTTCGATCTGTTTCCCTTTTGGAGTCTGTCAGGGAACAGGAGTTGCCCTGCTGTTCTCGTTGGCTGCCCCTTTGTTTGTCGTGAATGGTTTATATATATCCACAGATCGTAGGAATTGCCTCAAACATCAGGAGGAAAGTCAAAAGTTCATACGGTACGAATGCAAATAAAAGACTTCTGCCTTTACGAATATTTCAACATACGGTATTGTACGGCATCCAGCTTCTTTTATAAAGACCTTGACCTTACGGCGCTACATGTATACTTTGTTCAAATATTGTCCTTTTAATATATGTGAGGAGAAAGGTAGTATATATGTATACCTTTCCTCATTATGCTGACAATGAAGATACCTAAATTGAACTTTTTTCTCATATCAACACTTGGGGCCTTGATGTTTTTTTATCTTTTCGCTTTTACATAATCCTAATTGGTATTTCAGTATAGTATGACCAGTTTGGGTATCACGCTAATACGTAATTTAGGTTTAGATGTTTCAGTAAGGTAACCTATTATAATGATCACATCATCTGTGGAGCCCGTTTACGTATGATCCTATAGCTGTTACGAATACGTATAAAACAAAACAGTTCTCAATGAAATGTCGTAAGTTTAATAAACAGTCAAAAGACCATATTTCTCTGCTGCAAAAATTGAATTTATTAAATCTTTCTCTATAAACAGTTTCAACCCTTGTCCTAAAGCATACCTGCAACTTCCGTGTTTGATGCCATACTGGGTCATTGCAGAGGCGTTTAAAATTGATTTTTGGATTCAAAGAGTCATTTGACATATGAAGAACAGATGCTGTTGGAGTTGTTAACTAACGTTATAGTTTTTAAACAATAAATATTTTCAAATAAGTTAAATGACAGAGTTTTCATGTTTGTGGTTATGTCTGAAATAGTTGCCTGACTATATAACAATGCTAAAAACATTTACAGACGAACGGCCATTGTAGAAGTTAGTAATTGCAACAAAAAAAAAAAGCCGTGTGAAATCACTGTAGATAGTTCAACGGGAGGTAACTGTTCAAAGTTTCGAAATCCCGTTCCGAGTGGCAAATCGTTCGAGTGACATCGCCAGTTTTAGATGCACGTACTATCTATTACGATTTTAGCTCAAATTAAAAATTGAACGCCTTAGATACGATTTTTTGTTTACATTAAAGCAGCATATCCGTCGTTATCTGATGCACATGACGTTTCTCTCAACGGTTAGTTGGTCTCGATCTGCCACAAGAATAATAGACCATGTGTGTATATACTGTCGAAAAAGTGTATTACACACGTAGGTATCGAAACGTTCGAGTTACCACCTGAAACGTTCGAGTTACCACCTGAAACGTTCGAGTTACCTCCTGAAACGTTCGAGTTACCACCTGAAACGTTCGAGTTACCTCCCGTCAGACGAGTTTTTCCTACATAAACAGCTACTCGAGTACGTGTAACCTTTTTGTTGCCTCTCCTTGTAAAATTGAAATTATGTAGGATAGGTTCGGAAAAACTACATCTCATAATTTGACTCCTTGATCGTTATTTCTTATATGTAATATCTAACAATGGAATTTCATACAAGAGAAACAATTTATTGTCAATCAGCGATGTAAGGGAGGCAACTTTTGGTAACGATTTGAAATAACGATAATTTGGAATTGCCTCGTCACATCTTCAATTTTCATCAGGTCTATATCGAAGAATTTTTGTTGCATAATTGATAGAAAAGTTGTATGATAGTCACATCTGCTATTGCACCATAATGACTGTTACACCATCAGAAAGCCGTTTTTTTGCTCGCAATGTTAGTTCGATTTCATCTTTTATTTTTTACATGTCTTTTTTTCTGAAATCAAAGAAATGTAAGATATATGTACTATTCGCATTTTCACAGACTGAAATCTCGCTTTCTTACAGTTTAATTGATTGCATTAAAAAAACATTTCTGATATCTGTTGTCATGATGTCTGCACACACGGAAATAGACTATTTAGTTTTAGCCTTAAAATCTAATTCAATGCATACTTCTTCAGAGATTATGTTTGTTTCTATCAAAACAGAAAGCGTAGACACAGAGTTAAGGTTATTTAGCAATGTGTATATTTGTTTACCTTTATTTTATCGTCTTGTATGTTTGAATTAATTGACGGATTAATGTATATTCTATTTTTTTCTTTCACTTTCAGAAACAATACTATGTTATTATTTTGAAAAATGTTAATTCCTGTACTATATTTGGAAAAGGGCGTTTAAAGGTTGTAATAACTTGTGCCCAATCCTATTGGAGTAATTTGTGGTGAAAATTATCATAATCCCACTTATAGTTCCAACGAACTGTTCCGAAATATGTAACAATTTATACGTGCAGTTATTGCGTACGTCTATATACGTGATGACACACTTCGAGGCTACGCAAGCTGACAACAAGTGTATTTCATATTTGAAATGTATTATTCATATACCAGAAAGCTTAAAACTTTTATCAAAAATCCTGTTGCTGTTTTTATATATTTTTATTTTCTTATTTACAGAACTGATGCTTTGTTTGTTGACTTTTGATTTTATATTAACTCTGTTCGTATTAGAGCATGAAATATGATACCGTTTCCTCTCATTGTGATAGGATTCTAAGCTATTTATGAACAAGCTATCTGTGATTACACAACATGTAATATTATAATGATTTCCTGTTTTATTGTTTTCCATACATGTGTTTGTCGCAATAATAGCTGACAATAGCTGACGTTTCCTGTTTATATGTATGTGTATATTTGTGTCCTATATAACCTTATTCTTTTATTTATGACAGTTTTACAGCAGTGGTTATAAGTATTTTATTGTATGTTTACAACTGTGAATGATCCAACAGCTTCAACAAAACAAAGCTGAAGGACAGAGATCATGTTCTTTCTTTTTCTTCTTTTATTAATCAATAAGTATCGACTTCCATTCAATACAATTTAAAATAATTTGTTAATTTGGTAAGTTATAGTTTTAAGTTTGAGAAAATACATTAATTCTAGATACGGCGTGGCTATCACTTTGATGATGCGTCAATCGTCATGTCTATTGGACAAGGAAGTATAGATAAGGGGAATCTAGCCTAAAATGTAACATTAATTCAAAATCCACTTAAATGGGGCGACATCAAATCAACAACATTTAAACTTAATATAAGAGGTTATAACTCTCGTGAAAAAGGCTTATAAACGAGTGTCACCTTACTCTTCCTCTTAGGTCGAAGAGTGAAGCCTACCGCTTGTATGGTTTATGTAACGAGAGGCGTGGAGCCTACCACTTGTATGGTTTATGAACTCAGGAAAGAAAATATTAGAGGTACCCAGGGTAAACAAAAAGGTAGCCAGGGTGAACACTGAGGTACTCAGGGTAAACATAGAGGTACCCAGGGTAAACATAGAGGTACCCATGGTAGACACAGAGGTACTCAGGGTTAACATAGAGGTACATGTACCCATGGTAAACAGAGGTACCCAGGTAAACACAGATGTACCCAGAATAAACACAGAGGTAATCAGAGTAAACATAGAGGTACCCAGGGTAAACACAGAGGTACCCAGGGTAAACATAGAGGTAACCAGGGTAAACATAGAGGTACCAAGGGTAAACACAGAGGTACCCAGGGTAAACACAGAGGTACCCAGAGTAAACATAGAGGTACCCAGAGTAAACACAGAGGTACCCAGGGTAAACACAAAGGTACCCAAGGTAAACACAGAGGTACTCAGGGTAAACATAGAGGTACCCAGGGTAAACATAGAGGTACCCATGGTAAACACAGAGGTACTCAGGGTAAACATAGAGTTACATGTACACAGGGTAAACATAGAGGTACCCAGGGTAAACACCGATGTACTCAGAGTAAACATAGAGGTACCCAGGGTAAACATAGAGGTACCCAGGGTAAACACAGAGGTGCCCAGGGTAAACACAGAGGTACTCAGAGTAAACATAGAGGTACCCAGGGTAAACACAGAGGTACCCAGGGTAAACACAGAGGTACCAAGGGTAAACATAGAGGTACTCAGGGTAAACATAGAGGTACATGTACCCAGGGTAAACATAGAGGTACCCAGGGTAAACACAGAGGTACTCAGGGTAAACACAGAGGTACCCAGGGTAAACACAGAGGTACCCAGGGTAAACAGAGAGGTACCCGTGGTAAACACAGAGGTACTCAGGGTAAACATAGAGGTACATGTACCCAGGGTAAACATAAAGGTACCCAGGGTAAACATAGAGGTACCCATGGTAAACACAGAGGTACTCAGGGTAAACATAGAGGTACATGAACCCAGGGTAAACATAGAGGTACCCAGGGTAAACACAGAGTTACCCAGGGAAAACACAGAGTTACCCAGGGTAAACACAGAGTTACCCAGGGTAAACATAGAGGTACCCAGGGTAAACATAGAGGTAGCAAGGGTGAACACTGAGGTACACATGGGAAACACAGAAGTACCCAGAATAAACACAGAGGTACCCAGGGTAAACATAGAGGTACCCCAGGTAAACACAGAGGTACCCAGGGTAAACATAGAGGTACTCAGGGTAAACATAGAGGTACCCAGGTTAAACACAGAGGTACTCAGAGTAAACACAGAGGTACCCAGGGTAAACACAGAGGTACCCAGGGTAAACATATAACTATCAACATGCGGTTTTGTGACATTTGTAACATTTTGAAACTCTATCAAACATTCAGACTCTCCCATAAGTGTGATAACTATATATTTTACACGTGTTTCCTCAGTTGTAATAGACTCAAGAACATTTCGTAAGTGTCTGGATTTCCGGAAAGCTTATAACGTTTACAAAGTATAGGTAGCTTTACAAGGCGGATTCTGCCGTAATTTGCTCTCGCATTTATGGAGTATGCTTTTTCATTTATTTACCTTTGAGCATTGTGTTTACCAGAGACATGTATCATCTTGATATCAAAACTGCATTCAGAAATAACCCTTATATTATATCTACCATTATTTCCTATGTCTAACCACGAAAAACATACATGCTTGCATTCGTGACTGTTTCTTACTGTAAGTTTGATCAAACTTGATATAAGTACATCAAAATATTGTAATGACAATCTGTACACAAAGATAAACTTAAAGACCCATTGCAATGTATGATGATTAATGACTGGTTCGCTATAAGTTTACCGTATGACAATCAATCATAGTATTTACACGGTGTTGGTTTTGACGGTGTCGTCTCACGTAGCAAACATTTGGTATTTTCCTATATACAGGTAAGGTGTTGGATGTATGCTAGGTGAGATTTGGTGTCAGTTAGAGAACAATATGATTTAATTACAGGTAAACTGTAGTCTGTACTATAAAGTGTCTTACCATGTGAATATGAACGTATACATACATGTAGGATTGATTTTTGGTATACAATTTTATTTATTTATAAAATTGTTTCCACTTCATCTATTATAGTCTTCATCATAATAATAGGGAATATCAGATGAAATGTCCTAACTTTACATATTATTACAATACAATTTGTTTTATTAAGTGTCACATATCGATATACATTGAAACTACAGCAGATTTTACAAAAAGTAAAAGCTGCATGTATTTCAAAATTTAAATCGATCAGTTATCGACACTAGCCAAATCTGGCTTATGAGACACTAAAAGTCATTATCACACCTTAAAATAAGTAAAATCACTAGCACTGTACATACTTATATAAAGTTAAGCATAGGCGCCTGCGATATATATGATATAAAGCAGCGTGTAAAGTCGATCTTGTAAAGGTGTAACTGGACGAGAATACCGACCGGTTTCGACTTTTAACTTAAATTTGTTTACAAGACATTCCCAACTTCTCCGTTTTCCTTTTGACCACTAATGTGTTTTATAGACTAGTATATCGTGAGCGGTTCCATTAATCCTTAACTCATTGACCCCTGAAGACACAATTGAACCCTTCCAATTCAAAGGTTGGAATAGTTCATTATGAAGTTTCAGGGGTGAATACGTTAACCAGAGCCTACAGATGCCTCCACTTTCTCTTCCACGTCACAGGAACTCAACAAAGATCGCCACTTGTGGCAACATTGGTCGCATTTCTTCCGGTATCGAAGAAGTAGCGGCACGCTTTATTATTATTTCTTCAAAAGTATATAAGTTCAGCCCGAGTTACTAGTATTTCATTAATATAATGTAATCATTTGAAATGACAACGAAGGGTCATTTCAAGTTAACTGTACATCATATTGTACACATTACTCCATCAGTTATGCAGTATAATAGTAAACACATATTCAAACTAGTTTCATTAAAATATTATTATTCCGTCTGTACCACATGCCTATGGTGCTATTAACCAACACTTTATGACGGTATATGGTACGAATTTTTTTCTTCAATTTTATCTTACGAAGTATATTCCTGTAAAGTATAGAATACATGTATGTCTCAGTAGATTAAATACTTCTTTGCATTCATTGAGACTGGAAGAAAAAGAAATGTTCCTTCAGAACAAAGACATTGTAAGGAATGTACCTCCAAAGACATGAAAGATGTTTAGTGTCAAAAATAGTAAACAGCTATTACATTCTCTATACATCCAACAGCCAAAGCTTTGAATAAATGTTGACAATATTGACATTTGTGATATTATGATCAGTGAAAATTATAATTATTTTTCCTATCTACAGTGTGTGTCCACACAAAATCAGCTTGAGATTGAAATTTTGCAGACATAACCATAAAATAAAGGAAATATAAAAACAACATTCAGTCAACTGTTATTGTATCAGTGGAAATTTATAGACAATGCATTACAGAATTTTTGATAATCTCTGATATTAAGATTAGTTAATGAGGCTTTACTTAATCAGCAATAAGTTAAGATTTTAATAACATGTAGGCGGCTAGTACTGTACCTGTTATAATATCTCTAAAATCGTTGTTATTTTCAGGTTAAATAAATGTATCCATTTTTTTCTAATATTCATATTTCATCTACTACCACGTGTCATAATTCTTTACAAAGAAAATGGAATATTTCTCTGATTAAAGTAGACATAAGTTCCTAATTATATTATGTATAACAGAACCATCTACATCATTTTGAAACAGACTATAACCAAATTTTGATCAGGTGTGAAAATTGAAATGTATGCTAGGTGAGACTAAACCGTTTTGACGTGTACGGTACCTGCTCTCGTCATACACACGTACAGTAGGCTGTATATGGTATTGTGGTGGTGTGAACCTGCTCTCCTCACACACACGTACAGTAGTTATAGGCTGTATACGGTATTGTGGTGGTGTGAACCTGCTCTCCTCACACACACGTAC